AAGAAGAAGAAGAAGAAGAAGAAGAAGAAGAAGAAGAAGAAGAAGAAGAAGAAGAAGAAGAAGAAGAAGAAGAAGAAGAAGAAGAAACCAGGTTCAAATGGGTAATTTTTCAAGTCTGGTAATAAAAAGGTAGGTTTGACCCGATTAAAATTTGGTGTTGTGGAAATATGCATTGTACATTGTGTATAAAAATTTGTAATTAAGAGATTTTTGAAATTGTTGCATAAAATGGTAGTACCTTATGCTTCAAGAGTTGTAATTAAGACATTGACCTAAATGCTTATTAATGTAGTATAGACTATAAGTGTTCTGTGCAAATGCTACAGGGTTATGAAGTCTATACTTTATTTTGTTTTTTTATCTTTCTCGATTTTGTTTTTTGTCTTTCTCGATTTCATTTTACAAAGAAATCTAGAGATGAATTGGTTATTATTATCTTAGGGGTTGTTCAGTAACAACTTAATGAGTTGTATAACATATATGACTAATTCACACAACCATATTTATATGTTCGATAAGAGCTTAATCGCTCAGACAAGAGCTGAATTGGCCAACCACAAAATCATTGTCCTATCTACTCAGCGAATTAATTGTATTTACTTTCCCCATCTACCCCTCTCCCTAACTAATAGCACTAACCATTAATCAAAGAACCCTAGTTGCTCTAGTTGATTGCTTCTACTCCTCAGGACTGCTTCTACTCCTCCATCGTGTTCTTCATCGATCTTCTGCTCCAAGACTGCATCTACTCCATCATTTTCTTCATCATTTTTATGATCGATCTTCAGCTCCAGGACAACTTCTTCTTCCACGTCGAGGTATGTTTTTTTCTTCATCGATTTTATGCTTCATCTGTATTTTGACTGTTTTGGATGAACTATCAATTTTCTGCTCCTGCTTCATCGATTTTGACTGCTTCTACTCCATCGTTCCCCACCATCTCTCTCAACTTTTTCCGATTTTGACTGTTTCTACTCAGTTTTTATAAAAAAATCCATTTCTCCATCTATGATGTTAATGTATAGGAAGATGCTAGTTTAAATTTATGAAAATTAACTTCTTTAATTTCTTTTTTAGGCTTTCATTCTTTATGACTATTTTATGTTTCATTCTTTAATTAGGTTCCCCAATAAAAAAGACCTGGGATAAAATAGTCATTTATCTATACTATCTTATAAAGCATTTAGCTAAAATTCTTAAAAACTTTTAAAACTTTTAAACTCTTAAAAACTCTTAAACCCGTTCATCTCCATCCGATTTCATCCCATATCTGAATTCGTGTAACTAATTGCAGATAAACACAATTAAATACATGATAAACATCTCATTTTAAATATAAAAAATCTAAAATATAATTAAGATAATCATTGAGTTCTAACAGAATACTTAATTATTATCTTTATAAAATGTT